TCATCATCAGCATATTCACCATTATCGCATAGCATAACAACAACATTAACAACAACAAGAACAACACCACCGAAAACAACAACAACAAAATGTTTGAGACTGTGTGTTCTTATTCGATCGCGTGCCACGCAACGCGTATATCCCAAACCCTCGATACCCGCCCTCTTTGTCTTCGACCGTAACCCCCTCGGGGGTATTTCTTCCTTAACTGCCACGCACATTTAGCGCAGCCCCTAAAACGAGGGAAGGGGGGACGGATGGGGAAAGAGAAGGATGGACCGCGAGAAAGGGCCTCTCGGAGCACATCGCGAGTAAGCATCGAGCGGGAGCCCTTGTCATCGCGGCTGCGCCCCCACTAATTTGACTGAGTTGCCAGGAAGTCTCCAGCGAGAGCGCTGTTTCTGAGTTCGGGAACCTCTCTGACCAGGGCTTCCCGAAGTAAATCGCGTGGAAATGTCGAGCGGGAGGCTTGTCGTCGCGGCTGGGCATCCGCGAACTTGACTGAATTGCGAAGAAGTCTCATGCGAGAGCGCCGTTCCTGGGGCCTCTTCGGGCTGGGGCCTCTGTGGGCGAGAGCCTCAGTGGGCAGCGCGCTGGGGCCTCTGTGGGCGCGCTTGGGGCCTCTGCGGGCTGGGGCCTCTGCGGGCGCGCTTGGGGCCTCTGTGGGCGGCGTCGGGGGCCTCAGTGGGCAACGCGCGGGGGCCTCTGTGGGCGCGCTCGGGGCCTCTGCGTGCTGGGGCCTCCGTGGGCGCGCTCGGGGCCTCTGTGGGCTGTGTTGGGGGGTCTCAGTATGCAGCGCGCTGGGACCTCTGTGGGCGCGCTTAGGGCCTCTGTGGGCTGGGGCCTCTGTGGGCTGCGTCGGGAGCCTCAGTGGGCAGCGCGCTGGGGCCTCTGTGGGCGCGCTCGGGGCCTCTGCGGGCCAAGACCTCTGTGGGCGCGCTTGGGGCCTCTGTGGGCTGTGTCGGAGGATTCGGTGGGCAGCGCGAGGGGGCCTCCGTGGGCTCGCTTGACGACTCTGTGGGCTGGGGCCTCGGTGGGCGCGCGTGGCGCCTCTGCGGGCCTTGTCGGGGGGGCCTTAGTGGGCAGCGCGCTGGAGCTTCTGGGGGCACGCTTAGGGGCTTAAGGCCTCTGTGGGCTGGGGCCTCAGTGGGCAGCGCGCGGGGGCCTCTGCGGGCGCGCTTGGGGCCTCTGCGGGCGCGCTTGGGGCCTCTGTTAGCTGGGGCCTCTGTGGGCTGTGCCGGAGGGCCTCAGTGGGCAGCGCGTGGCGGCCTCGGCGCGCTTGGCGCCTCTGTAGGCTGGGGCCTATGTGGGCGCGTGTGGGGCCTCCGTAAGAAGCCGGGGTATCAGTAGGCAGCGCCCTGGGGCCTCCGTGGGCACGCTCGGGGCCTCTGTGGGCTGTGTCGGGGGCCTCAGTGGGCGGCGCGCTGGGGCCTCTGTGGGCGCGCTTGGCGCCTCTGCAGACTGGGGCCTCTGTGGGTGCGCTTGAAGCCTCTGTGGGCTGTGCCGGAGGGCCTCAGTGGGCAGCGCGCGGGGGCCTCTGTGGGCGCGCTCGGGGCCTCTGTGGGCTGGGGCCTCTGTGGGCGCGCGCGGGGCCTCAGTGTGCAGCGCGCTCGGGCCTCCGCGGGCACGCTTGGGGCGGGGGCTTGGGCCTTCGTGGGCTGTGTCGAGAGCCTCAATGGGCAGCGCGCGGGGGCCTCTCTGGGCGGGCTTGGGTGAGGACTGGGGCCGCTGTGGGCTCTGTCGGGGGGCAGCGCGCTGGGCCCTGTGGGCGCGCTCGGGGCCTCTGTGGGCAGCGCGGGGGGGCCTCTGTGAGGGCGCTTGGCGCCTAGGTGGGCTGTGCCGGAGGGCCTGCCGGCAGCATGCTACCGTCCCTGTGGGCTTACTCTGGGCCTCAGTGAGTTGTGTGTTGGGGCCTCACTGGGCAGCGCGCCGGGACCTCTGTGTGCTGTGTCCGAAGGCATCAATGGGGCAGCGTTGTGGGGCCCCTGTGGGCGCGCTTGGAGCTTTTGTGGGCTGTGTCCGATGAGCAGCGTGCTGGGGCCTTTGTGGTTTGGGGCCTCTCTGGCAAGGTCGTCTAGGAGTACTAAAGGGGGTGTCGGGCGGGAGCCCCTGTCGCCGCAGGTGGGCCTCTGGCGCCGCTACTGACTTGCAGTCTCGGGCCATGGGCTCTCGAAGTACAGCTTGAGGAAGTAACGAACGGGAGCCCTTCTCGTCGCGACTTGGCCCACACCAACTTGACTGAATGACGAGGGCGTCTCGAGCGAGAGCGCCGTTCCTGAGTTCGGGGGCCTTCCTGGCCAGGGCCTCTCGGAGTACATCATGAGGAAGTATCAGGCAGGGGCCCTTGCCGTCGTGGCTGGGCCCCCGCCAACTTGATTGAATTGCGAGGAAGTCTCGAGCGAGAGAACCGTTCCTGAGTTCGGGGACCTCTCTGGCAAGGGTGTCTCGAGGTAAATTGCGAGGAAATATCGAGCGGGAGCCGTTGTTGTCGTAACTGGGCCTCCAATGGCGCACTTTTAGGGTCAAGCCAACGCTCGAGCGGGAGCCTCGTTTTCAGAGAACATGTAGCCGGCGTCGAGGCGAGAGCGCCTGGAACCGTTTCCGAAGATCAACAATAATGATTCTCTAGAAATGAATGATCAAGATCACCACAATCATCATCAACAGCAGCACCATCACCACCACCACGATCATCATCATCACCATCATCATCATCATCATCATCAGCAGCAGCATCAGCATCAGCATCAGCATCGTGATCATCATCATCACCATCATCATCAGCATCATCAACATCATCATCAGCATCATCAACATCATCATCAGCACGATTACACCAACAGCATCAACATCAGCAGCATCATCATCATCAGTATCAGCAGCACCATCATCATCATCATCATCATCATCATCATCATCATCATCATCATCATCATCATCATCATCATCATCATCCTCGTCGTCGTCGTCGTCGTCGTCGTCGCCGTCGTCGTCGTCGTCGTCGTCGTCGTCGTCGTCGTCGTCGTCATCAAGCCATCTACCTCAGGCCTTTGAGGAACGAGGCTTTGCGAGTTAATGCGTTTTCTCGCCCCATCGTGCCCATATTCGCTAGCCATGGATGTGCACCCCGCTGGCCAGTGTATTCCGGAACGCTCATCTGCTTGATGGCACACTGCCCCACGATGCGCCTTTCTTCTTCGGCACGGCGGCGCATCCGGCGTGCAGCGTGCAGTCGGCGCTGGATGTCTAGCGCGATCATGAGGATGTTGGAGACCCCGCCCCCGTACTCGCGAGAGGCGCTCTTACGGGCGCGTCCCTGCCATCCTCGTGGTCTTGCCTTGCGACCCACTCCGGAGATTGATCTTGCCGACCACGGCCCGCGGGTGGTCCGCGGGGCCTGCACGCCTGGTCAGTGTGAAGGTCCACGCCCTGACGATGGTTCAACGTCTGTAGTGGCCCCCGTGGCCCCGGTTGATTCGTCACCCACTTCGCTTTCTGCGTCTTCGAGGGCGTCGGCCAGTCTGTCAATTTCTTCTTCGCCATGTTCACGCACGTGTCGGTGGACGTCGAGACGACGCCATGTCACTATTTCGGCTTCTTCGAGGGCTTCCGCCTGTCAGTCGCTTTCCACCTCCCTTGGTCACGGGTACCCCGATGGCCCTTGCGACGCCGAGGCGGTGGTCGAGCCTATCTGGAGAACGTCGACCCGTCCTATCGGCCGAACGAGGAGGTAGACCCGTCCGACACCTTGGCGGACTTAGAGTCTAACGTTTTCGACTTGCTGGACGACCTTGGCTCGGTCACCACGGACTCCTTCGTTGAGAGTTTCCTTGAAAGGTATGCCGACGACTATCCAGAAGTACTCGACTTTCCCCCGACGTACCACATCCCCTTCCGATTTGTAGTGAATCAGGTGATATACGCAATGCTGCACGAAGGCATTGTTCAGGAGTCGCACGGCATTCTGACAATGTCTTGTTAGGTTGCAGGCTGTGCTCTACGTGCACTTCTTGTCGCGGCCTCACGCTTCTGAGGCTGTTCCGCGGTGGGCCCGATGCGAACGCCGAGGACGTCATCAGTGGCGTGCATCCCACCGCGGGCTGGCGGGCCCGATGCGTCCGCCGAGGACGTCATCAGGGGCGGGCATCCCGCTAGCGCACGGCAGGCCCGATGCGGTTGCCGAGGGGCTGGGCCCCCGTGCACGCATCCTGCTGTGCACCCTGTAGCATTGCTTATTTCACGTTGTGGCCGTTGCAGATTATGCAGCCTCTGTGCGCGTCACTAGTGACGTTTCATACAGTGGCTTTCTCTGACAGACTGCACAGGCCAGGCTGTGCGGCCTGCGCGACCAGTGCTGCCATGGCATTCACGTCATCACTGACGGGCAGAGGGCTCGCTTGCTGTCCCACGCTTTTCTCCTCCCCATGAGCCCCGATTATGTTTAAAGAAACCATCGTCATCATCATCATCATCACCATTATCATCATCGTGATCATCATCACCATTACATCATCATCATCATCATCATCATCATCATCATCATCATCATCATCATCATCAGCATCATCATCATCATCAGCATCATCAGCATCATCATCATCATCATCAACAGCATGACCATCATCAGCAGCAGCATCAGCACCATCAGCAACAGCATCATCATCATCAGCATCATCAGCAGCATCATCACCATTACCATCACCATCACCACCATCGCCGTCACCATCCGCACCATCAGCACCATCAGCATCTTCATCACAATCGGCATCAGCAGCATTATCATCAACAGCATCAGAATCATCATCATCATCACCAGCACCATCATCATCATCACCATGATCATCAGCATCATAATCAGCATCATCATCATCATCATCATCATCATCAGCATCATCAGCATCATCAACATCAGCATCATCATCATCATCATCATCATCATCATCAGCATCATCATCATCACCATTCCCAATGCGCTCCTCCTTCCTGGCGACCCCCCAGGCCTGGCACTTGAACCGGAGGCCCCTCAGCGGCGTCGCGCCGCAGCCATCGCACGTGATAAAACGGTGCTCCAGCGCGGTGCCCTCTGCAGCGCAGCAAGCGGCAGAGGGGGGGGCGAGGGGAACGGAGGAAGGAGAGAGGGCGGCGGAAGGACGGATGAGTGAGCATCGTTCAACAGATCCCTATCCCCACTGGCGTGGCCCTGGCCCCACTTGCTGACTTACCAGCCTGTGGGGGGGGATGTATGGCTTGTCCTGCGGGCTTCGCGGGGCCTATCCCCACCTAGGAAGGTGGGCTACTGGGACTGAACTACCTGTCCCTGTGGGAATGGGAATAGGTAAGACGATGGTGAATGACGCAGGGGCAAGAATGATAAGGAGAAGTTTGATGTGCTCTCCCCGTAGGCGCTTGGCACGCTCGGGAGAGGGCTTCAAGCCCGCGGGCCCTCCCTGTCCGCAGTCAGAAAACCGAAACCCTCAAAGGCACGCTGCGCCATGACCACACCCTACCGCCCTGCCCGCGGATTGAAGCCCACTTCAAAGCAAGCGGCCCCCCTAATCATTACCTTTCTGTCCAGATAGAAGCGGGGTCTCTGCGCAGGGCACTGTGCTGCTGGCCCGTGGGTGCGATTGCGCGCGCTGCGCACGCTGAACACCACGCAGTACGTTCCGCGTTTCGTTGTAAGCCAGGGGGGGGGCCCTCCACGACGAGGGTCGGCTCCGCCCCGTCAGCCCGGCCCACCACGACGGGGGTCGGAGCGCAATCGGCGTCGGTTTGGTCTCGGCGGGAAGGCGCCCCCTCCCCCCCACGGCGCGCATTACGGAATGCAGATCGCGTGGCGCGCGGGCCCTGGCTCTTGCACGAAGGAGCGGCAACGGACGGAGGGGGGCAGTCTCGTTTAAAGAACCTGGGGCTCGTTTGGGGACCATCTCGTGGAGACCATGGCGGAGGGGCCTGGGGGGCAGGCGGGGCAAAGGGGGGGGAACGGACTGCAAACGAATGAACACAAACGAAAGACTCACGGCAACATTATCCTGCGACGTACCCAACCCAGCGGAATCAAGAGACGCTAACATGCGCGCCAGCAATAGCGTCACAGCAACATTGCAAGAGACGGCGCACGACGGATATCTTTATCGTGCGAAGTGTGCGTGGCCGACTCGCAGAAAAGAGTTAGAAAATGCCAGGAGGCGGTGTACGGCTGGGAAGGAAAAGCAACCATAGTATGAAGTTTCGCGTTATTCCACGCCGAAATGCTCAACAACTGCTCGTCGTCGTCCTCTTCCTCCTCCTCATGCACCTCCTCCTCCTCCTCCTCCTCCTCCTCCTCCTCTTCCTCCTCCTCCTCCTCCTCCTCCTGCTCCTCCTCATCCTCTCCATCCTCCTCCTCCTCTTATTATTATTCTTATTATTCGTATTATTATTCGTTTTCTTCTTATTAGTATGATTAGTGTTCTTGTTTTTCTTCTTCTTATTAGTATTATTAGTATTATTATTAATATTATTATTACTAGTATTATTAGTATTAAGATTATTCGTCGTATTATTCGTCTTATTATGATTCTTAGTATTCGTCTTCTTATTCTTATTATTATTGTTCGTCTTATTATTGTTCTTATTCTAATTCTTATTCGTATTATTTTTACTCGTATTAATAATATTCGCCTTATTATTCTTATTATTCTCATTCTTCGTCTTATTATTATTATTCGTATTATTATTATTAGTGTTATTAGTATTATTATTGTTAGTATTATCATAGTTATTACTATTATTATTAGTATTATTATTAGTATTATTAGTATTAGTAGTAGTAGTAGTAGTATTAATATTATTATTAGTATTAGTGCTCGTCTTTTTCTTATTCTTATTATTCGTATTACTATTCGTATGATTTGTCTTATTCTTCTTGGTAGTATTATTATTATCATTATTATTGTTATCCTTATTATTATTATATTATTATTATTATTAATAGTATTCTTAATATTGGTATGCTCTTCTTATTCTTATTATTTTTATTATTCGTCATCGTCTTAGTATTATGTTTCGTTTGTTCGTCTTGATCTTCTTGTTCGTCTTATTATTTTTCTTATTATTATTATTATGATTAGTCTTCTTGTCTTCTTGTTATTAGTATTATGTGTCTTCTTATTCGTCTTCTTATTATTTTTCTTATTATTCGTCTTAATACTATTATTCTTATTGTTATTATTATTCCTCCTCCTCCTCCTCTTCCTCCTCCTCGTCCTCCTCGTCCTCCTCCTCGTCCTCCCTCCTCCTCCCTCCTCCTCTTCCTCCTCCTCTTCCCTCCTCCTCCTCCTCCTCCTCCTCCTCCTCCTCCTCCTCCTTGCCCTCCTCCCCCGCCTACTGTTCATACTCCACCTCCCTCCCCTCTTCCTCCCCCACCCCTCCTCCTCCGGATCTGCGTGGGGCCACACACCGTTGTGCACCCCAGCAGCCATCGAAAATGGCGGCGCTTCCACGTTTCCCATACGCCCCAGGGATGGCGAGGTCCTCGAGGTTTGCGTGGGACCCCACTGTGCTGCCCCCCCCCCCCCAGCAGCCCTCAAAAGTGGCTACAGCTTCACACTTCGCAGCCCCCCCCTCAAGGATGGCGAGGTCCCCTGGCCCCCCCCAAAAACAACCCTCGAAAGTGGCGACAGTTTCAATTCGCACTGTCCCCACGGAGTGGCGAGATCCCGTTTGGATCTGCGTGTGGCCACACTGCGCTGGCTCCCACAGCAGCCCTCGAAACTGGCGACACTTTCACTCTTCGCAGCCCCCCAGGGATGGCGAGGTCCCGTTTGGGTCTGCGCGTGGCCCCACTGTGCGATCTCCCCCATCAGCCCTTGAAAGTCGCGACACCTTGTGGCGACAGCTTCAGTCTTCGCAGCCAGCCCCCAGGGATGGCGAGGTCCCGTTCGGGTCCGCGCGGGCCCCCCCTTGCGCGGGCTCCCAATTTTTTCCCGTGGCGGAGGAGCTAACTAAACGGGGGCACCGTTGTAGCGAAGTGTGCCACGACGCAAGGAGAATGGGACAGGACAGGGAGGGCGGCCGAAGGAGGGGGAAGCAGAGCGAGAGCCGTTCAGGGAGGCGGGTCACGCCCAGAACGCGTGGCGCGGCTGGCCCCGCCGGCGGGGTCCGCGGCGGCTGCTGCGCCGGGGACCTCCGACGGCGGGGCGCAATGCGGATGCCGAAACAAACCCAGTGGGACAAGGGTGCGCTGCGATCAGTGCTGGAGCCAGCCGTGGATGGCGGCACGTCCCCCAGAACGGGAGCGGGCGCCGCGTGCCCAGCAAAATGCTGGGCCGCTGCCGCGGCGGGCGGCAAGACCAAACCCAGGGCGCCAGCGCGGCGGCTGCAAGCGGCCCGTCAGCGCCATGGCGGCGCGCGGAGGGAGGGAGAGCGAGCGGGGAGGGCAGAAGTGGACAGGGAGGAGAACGCCCCGCTTGGGAGACCCACAGGCGGGGTGGCGGCGCCGGACAGCAGCAGCGGCGCGGGCTCCCACAGGAGTCCTCCAGAGTGGCGACAATTTCAGAATTCGCAGCCCTCCAGGGATGGCGAGGTCCCGCTTGGGTCCGCGTGGGGCCCCACTGCGCGGGCTCCCCCAGCAGCCCTCGAAACTGGCGACACTTTCACTTTTCGCAGCCCCCCACGTATGGCGAGGTCCCGTTTGGGTCTGCGTGTGGCCCCCCCAGCAGCCCTCGAAAGTGGCTACAAATTCACTCTTCGCAGCCCCAAGGGATGGCGAGGTCCCGTTTGGGTCCGCGTGGGGCCCCACTGCGCGGGCTCCCCCAGCAGCCCTCGCAGCCCGCAAGAGGGATGCGAGAGGAGAGAGCAGAGAGGAGAGAGCAGAGAGGAGAGAGCAGAGAGGAGAGCGGGGGGGGGCGAGGAGGAGAAAGAAGTGAAGGTGGTGACCCCACTGCTCGATGCAAAACGAGAACCCAAACAAGGGAGGGTTGGGAAAGAAATAACCCCGAGCTTCAGAGCTTAGCTGTGCAGGAGAAAGGGGGGCTTCCGAGCTTTGGAGCGAGCAAGCGGGAACGGGTCCAAAGCCAGGGGGCGGCAGGCGACTTTGGGCAGGTGTCACGTGCACCATGGGCGCGCCATCGACCTGAGTTCGGGCCATACCATGCATTTGACGGATGCTCACGCGCGTGAACGTCCGACGGTTTTCTGGAATGCAAGGTAGACAAAATAGGAAGCCAGTTACGCCACTGGTGCGTCTGGCCACGCGGTCCACAAATCCTACGACGACACCCCCACACATTTGTGAGCAGCTCGTCCTTCTCAGCCCCTGACCGTCACTTAGCGCGACCTTTTCTGACCGATGAACGCGATGTAAACCTCCCGCGCGCGCCGATGCCTTGGAATCAGACTTCTGCAAATGTTGAATTACATGGCCGCTACGGCGCTTAGTTGCCACTCCCAATCGAACTGTCCAAATTGCATTTTCCGCCTACACCACACACAATTCTCGCAAGTCGGACAACATGGTTTTAACAATAATCCGTTTAATGAACACCGACGCCCACTGATTGTAACGTGACATTTCCCAGTCAACCTTTTGGGCGAATGGGGACGCACCTGATTGCGCACCCAACGTGGTCAAGATGAACCGCTTTGGAATCACTCCCCTTGGTGTGACCATGCTTGTTGATATGTATGTCCTAATAATGTCCTTGACTTTGAGCTCCTATGGGTAACGTTACATAGACATCCCGGACATTGCCGGTCTCTGCTTTGAACGCCTTTGAAGTCAGCCTTTCGGGCCAGAAACCGATGCTCGGTCATCATTTGGAACACTATTCCAATTCCCGTCGTGCAGTGTCGCAGCGAGTCCCTCGGCATGTGAGGGTGGATGGTGGTACGGAATCGATGGCAGAGATCTGTACGTTCTTTCCTGTAGGCTGAAAAAGCGTGCTCGCAATGCGTGACCGTCAGCAAAATTAACGTAACCCGCTTAGGGCCCGAATAACCACAATTGAGACGAGCATTGTAGAAAATACCCGAACACAACAAAGCAGATGTAGATACAGGGAGAGAAAATATGTTTTACGTTTTTTTTTTTTATAAGAAA